GCACGGTTTTGGCTGGTTTGCCAGCCTGCCTATATGTATGGGCGGAGGCTCTCGATGGTCGTGCAAAGTTTCATTTTCTAAAAACCAACCGCCCACCCACACAAAAACACACATATAGATACCTTTCGGCTCAGGCTGCGCCAAAAATGCTGCAACAAAATCTGGCATTTTCCGTTTGGTCTTGTTTCCTTTCGGGCGGAAGAAATTTAATTTCCATATGTTTTGTGTGCTGTGGCAGCTGCTGCAGGTTTCTGCTGATGTGCAAGTTTTAAAGTAACCCAATCGCCCGAACGAACTACACACTACTACTACTACCATCCATCGTCATCCCTTCGCCTTTCGGTGTTTGCCATTTTTGCTGACTCTCCTCGTTGTCCGCTGATTTGTTTATATTTGCTTTGCATCTTGCCCAGCTAGGAGAGTGTGTCAAGTTTCGAGCTTGTCTGTTAACCCATTTGAGATGTCCTGACACCCCCATGTACACACACACACACATACACCACCGAGAGGGCACAGGGACCACAGGACAGGACTCTCAGTGTTTGTGTGTCAGAAAGATTAAGTATACGTCAAGTGGTACGCGGCATTGGCTTTTCCAATTAGCTGCCTGCCTGAAAATCCGCTAGAATTAGCCAAAAAGTTGCGTACGGTCCCCAGCACCAGGATCTCACCCTGACACACTTCATTTAATTTGGCAGCTTAAAAGTTTTCACTCAAGCTGCCACCTTTGGCTAATTGAGTGCTCCAAGTTGTAGCCAAGTAAATCGAATCAATTAGACGGATTCAGCTGGCTTTAAGCGCTGAATTTATGACCCTTTTTTGGCTGCCGTCTGCTGGATAAGGCAAAAGTTTTCGCCAGCCTGATCTGTGAATTATATCCCTATGATATCTTGGATTCAAACAGCCAATGTGGCTGCGAATTTTTGCATAATTCAGCTAGAGCCTCGATTGACTTGACCTGTCAATCAGTCCCGCATATATATGTATGTATATTGTCTGGTGTATAGCTTTAGGCAGAGGTACAGGGGCCAGGTTACTCGACACTCGACACTCGGCACTCACAGTTCGACAGATGGATTTTTGTTGGCTGTCAGTTTGACAGGACATTTCATCATCGGGATGAAGTGAGTCCCAGGGCCCAGAGAGACTGACAATGAGAGTGCGTCCATCCAAATCGAACTGGCCTGGTGTAGTGCACTTTATGCAAATGCGACTATTAATGTGCTCGACCCCTGACCCCCCATTGACCCCACCTACTTGCGACCCCTTGGGCTGAGAGTGTGTTTGCATATCTGGCGCGCAATTAGCTTAATTTGTGCCCCTCTGCTACGGTGACTGCTCCTGCTTTGGCAACTACTCTTCCTCCCATTGCCATTCCTGATCAAAGTTAATCCTTTTCAATATTACCGAAAGGACCAAAAAGTAGTGAGAGATATTCAGGGGAACGCACTACAATGATTTTTAGTCCAGCCTATCTGCATGTATAATATTATAAAATTTTCATATTTATTTAGATGCATTTGAATATTTTGCGCATATATATTCCGATTTTTTTTTTTTGTTGTTCGTTGTCCAGCTGCTGAGGCCCATCTAATGGGTGTTTTGCCAACCAACCGTTTTCCCGCTTTAATGCAGGCTTTTAGTTTTGAATTGGTATTGCCCTGGGATCCCTGATTAGCATCGTTTTAATGTTTAATTAAAGCTCTCGTGGCTACTGCCATAATTTGCCACTTTTCCCGCCTTTTTTTCCTTTTTTTTTCCCCCCTCCCCGACCCATTTGAAAATCATTTGAATAAAAAATCCCTTTTGGCCCACTCTACGGCAAACTGGCAGTGCTATTGCCACTGCTGTTGCTGCATTATGGATTGTTTATGGCGAACGCAGAAATTTGTAAATAATTTATTAGTGTCCATCGCTAATTGCTGCCAACTTCTTGTTACTGGGCAATGGTTACGGCTCCCAGCTATTTTTGGCAGCAAACAGCAGCATTTCTGGTTTAATTACAAGGCAATTCGGCGACGATATCCAAAAAATTTTATGCGAATTTATTTAGAGAGCCGGGATAAAAATATTTGTAAAACAAACTGCGACGGCCATAAAATAAACACACACGCAAACAAAAAAGAAATGTGAAAAACATGTAGCAGACAAACACAGTGTCCTGCGAAGCCAAAGGATGGCAGGGATTGGTGGCTGGACCAAAAACCCACACAAAAGCCATCTAAAACCGGAACTCAATTTAGCGACAAAATGCCTAAAATGCAGTTTGAAATTTTTAGAGAGAGAGAGTGGGAGAAGAGAGAGGGTGTTGGGGGGCAATGCAAAATCCCACACAGCATTTGGAAGAACAGTAAGTACTGGAAATGAGAGCTACACAAAACGATGTAATTAGTTTTCTTTAAATGTTTTTAATAATTAGATTAGATTAGATGAACGAGCAGAAGGCATTAGCTGCTATTGCTCCTGACCCTAGTAGCTCTTAGTTTTAAACTTATTGTTAGCTCTTCATAAATAAATAAATAAATCTTATATTACTAAATGTTATTTTATAAAATTGCAAATAGTTTCTCGATGAAAGAAACTTTGACTTTTACTTCAGCTTTGCCGTGAAATGGTATTTCGTTTAGTAATATTTAAATATTAAACTTTAAAGATTTTAAAAACAATTTATATTGCCAAGAAAATGTTTATCTTAGATTTTAGTTTACTAGTTCAGTCCCACCTTACCACATTCAGTACATATTTAAATAACTTTTAAAACAGTTTTTAAATCGTAATAATTAATTATTAATCTTAGTCTTTGTCTCAGCTATTACCAAATAAAGCCTAAACCCTTATCGTTTGTTCATTTTATCCACTTACCTCCGTATCAGATTTTCAGCTGCATATTTTTGGTCATATCGAAAATTTTGCCAATTTTGCATATGAAAATTGTACGCGGTTAATAGGCGACATGTGTGCAGAATGTCCTCGGAGAGGGCAAAGGAGGTCCCCACACATGCAAATCTCGACATTTACATATACATATATATATATACACATACATATTGATGCCAATAAGTATTTTGAAGGTGTGTGGGTGTTTGTTGTGCGTGGCGAGGCCGGCACAAAATTTAATAATAATTCTGCAGTTGGAAAATTGTTTGATAATTTAATTGCTGTCGTCTGGCGAGGTTGGCCGGTAGTTGAATGTCATTAAATCGAGTGAAATTAAAGTGGCATTGGCAGTGGGAGAGGCAATGTCAGCACTAAGCGGACAATGCAAATTGGCCAAGGACCCTCGGCCTAATCAGCCGTCAGCTTGAGGATCCATCTAATTAGATGTTTGCCGGCCACAATGCCCGTGCAAAAGTCTAGATTCCAAAGAAAAACGGCAGTAGTGCACTCACAGTCGTCATTCTGAATCTGAAGATGTGCTAATAATCATTTTAATGAAACGATGCAGATGCTGGGCATAAAAATCCAGCTGGCATAATGATGAGAAAAGTGGCCAGCAGGAGCAGGAGAAGAAGAACTAGGGATGGCCGTAAAGAAGGCGAGCAAGGTTTACGGTCAGTTGGGGATTGCCCCCAGCTGCAGAGGCATGGCTCCAAGCTGCTTAAGCGCTAAACAAGATGAATCTAATAACGACCGGGGACTGCGACGCATCCTTTCGCTTCGTTCTGGGCGCCGCTTCCGTGTTCGGTGTCCAAGTGTCCGTCAGCTGGCTTCCGCGGACTCTTCGGGCCGCTTCAACCGACTTGACCTGCCCCAAAAAACTGATTTCTTTTCGTACTCTTAAGTCCTGCGCTCTTTACTCCTTTCTCTTTTTTTTATAGTTCTTTGTAATGAGAGAGAGAATCCACCCTATGCCATGCCGATTGCCGAGCGGATGCACTGCAAAATGCCGGCTAAATTCGTGGCTTCCGTGGGTCTTCCTACCTCTCACTCTAGTCCTTTGGCCCCTCTCTTCATTTTTCTCCATCTCAGCCAAGTTTTGTATTGTAATCTATACCGAGCGGCTTACAACTGGCATAACTTTGGTGGGGTTGTATTGCCTACTTTCTGGCTTGTAAACCTTATTTTTGCGTATGCTTTCTTGGTTATATTAACCGATCTCTGGCTGGACTACTATACTTTATTATTGGGGTCTGACCTTTAATTTTGAATCTTCATGCTTATCTAGTCCCACCATATATAGTATAAGGTTCAAAAAAGACTTTCTAAGTCTGTTTTACTATTGACTTATTAAGACATTTTTCCTACTAAAAACAATACTTACTTCAATTTTGGTAACTTTTTATCTACCAATCCCTTTTCTTACAATATCTTTGTCCACTCATCTATCTACCACGATTTATTACTTTATGATCTTCTCAACCAATCAATTTATAGACTTGCTTTTGCCTGTCTACATACAAATATGTGTTTAGATTTGGGATAAGTAAGAACTACTCAACTTAATTGTTGGCTTATTATTATTATTTAGATATTATAGATATATTTTAAGACTATAATATTCTCAGCTTGCTAGTAAAGCCCGAAAAGTAGCCACCAAAAAATCAACGAAAGAAACTATAGAAAAACTTCGCTGGCGCCGTTGTCGTTCGTTTGCGTTCGGTTTTTTTTTTGGTTCGGTTCGTTGCCATTCGGTTCGATTCGTTTGGAGTTCGGGGAATCCCTTTTTTCTCTGCTGCCAAACGAAGGCGAGACAGACAGCGGCGTCTCTGCCGCTGCCTCGGCTGCAGTTGACTGCTCTGCCGCCGACTTGTTGCGACGCCAGACGTCAAGTGCGCATCTAACGGCATCGCAGCGACAGAGACAACGAGCGCGCGCGAGCGACAGAGAGAGGGAAAGATAGAAAAAGAGGGCGAGCGAGAGGCTGGCGCCTCGTGCAAAAGTTTACTATGCCAATGCACTCGTTGTCTGGCCACCCCGCCTCTACCATTCATTCCCGACTCTCCCCTCGCTCTTTTCAACCGCTGCAGCGCATAGTGCAGCGCAGTAAGCGCGTCGACCGCACAGCAAGGCTCTCTGTCGCACCGCGCTGCCACGACGTAAATGTTGCAGAGCAGAGAGCTCACGGCAGTTCTCGTTGGGCCAGTCCCCAAGAAGTTGGCATTCAGTAGCCACGCAACGTCCGCCAGTCGAGGTTGCCCGGCTCCCAGTTAGCTATCAGCCAGTTGGCCGATCGAGTGGCCAAAAAGAAAAGTAAAGAGGAAGAAGAATTCAACGAACGAACCCTTTCGTTCCCTTTAGCCAAGTTCTGGCCTTTGGGCCGCAAAAGTGCAGCGACAGTCGAGCCGAGAGCCTCCAGCGAAACAGTCGCAGGTCGCTGCTCTATCTAAAAAAAAAAAACTAAACTAAAAACCAAAAAAAAAGGAAAGAAAAAGAAACAACAACATAAATTCCAAGTGATCAGCCAGCGGAATTTGAAACCGTTAAGTACACTTTGCTGTGTCTGTGTGTTTGTACTCTCGTCGTACTGGCTAAGTTCTCTGATACGCTCTATAAGGCTATATATCGTATCGTGTGTAATTTAATTCCGGCGGGCTCATAATCAATTCGCCGTAATCCATTTCCATTTAATATTAACGTCGCGACAACTCCCCAAAAAGAAAAACAAATATATAATGAAAACAACCTCAATGGGAAGCCAGAAAACGAGTATTTATGACAGGTGTGACGGTGTTGGAGCTGGAAAATTACAGGTGAGTGAGCAGTCATTAGGGAAGCATTTATTATAATCAAGTGACAAGCGGCAAAGGGTTGGGGTTAGCCTCTATTACAAAAGGTAGATAAATGTCAAATGTCAAATATCAAGTATCCGACATGTGTGACAAAGAGAGGGTAGGGCGGTAAGGTTTTTGGTTTCAAAGAAGCAAAGGAAAAGGGAGGAAATATTACCCTGCGTAAAAAGTAAAAACTTTTATTTTCAAGACTCCGCAGTATATAGTATATATTCTTGTAAGAAATTAAGCCTTAACATACCGAAAAAGCAGATCTTAAACAAGAATTCAGGAAGTGCTATAAATGTGGGTATATCTAAAACTCTTTCCTTTCGACCATCTCTCCATTCCTTAGCGTACTTTCTCAATGCAATAAACGAGTCATCAATCTAACCGAACCGATTCATCAGCACATTTGCTACGCTTTTCCCAAGCAGCGAGCGCACCCCAACTTCCATTCCCGTTGTCCATGCAAATTCCTGCCGCTGCTGTTGTTGGTCAATAACACTGCCAATCACTTTCTGCCTAATCATGCGTCTCAGTCGCTCATCAGCCCTTTTCTCCTTTTTGGAGCCTTGTATTTACGGCTCACGATAAATGATGTTAAATAGTCCGTGGCCGGAATGAATTCGCAGTTTCTGTAGGCAGATCGATTCTGGTTTTTACACGTGAGCGGTTATCTTATCGCCTTTTTGCCTTCGAAACTCTTATCAGCCCGGTCAAAAGTGACAATTTCATTTGGCAGAGAGGGCATCCCCGCTAACTGCTGATAAGCAAATTAGCTCTAATTGAGCTAAGCTGGCCGAAAGCAGATAACATGGCGTTTTTCGGGGGGCGTTAACTTAAGACTTCTAAAGCCTTTAGCCGCTTCAGCCTCGGGTGGTTCTCACATTTGTTATGGCAAAAAAAAAAAACACAGAAAAAAAGCTAAGAAAATAAGCAAAAAAATCATAGTAAAGAAAAGTGGCCGCAAAGAGTGCTTAAAGCAGACCAGTGGACGCGGTGGGGGGAGGACAGGTGGAACTAGCCCAAAAGAAAAGAATTTCTACTTATAACGAGTTTTTATTACAAACGCGCGAAAGCGACGAGGTAGCCGAAAATCTACTAAAAAAAGGAAGACAAAAATAGGAGAAAAAAAGTAGTAGTAGCAGAAAAAGGTAGTAAAAAGGGGCAAAGCGAGCGAGGCTAACTGAATTCCTTCTGGGTGGCTCAAAAGTGGGGTGGACAGCGGAAGGGTTGCACATAAAAAGTAACAGCATTTTTGCCTACACTGCGCGAAAATGAAGTAGGAATTCGATATCGAAATGAACTATTAAGAGTGTTAAAAGATCTAAGATCTATTAGAACTCTCTTTTTGTATTTTCAAAGGTAAAGAGAAATGTTAAATTAATTTAAAGTTAATATTTTCAAAGAAAAGGTTAAAGGCAAAGAAAGCACCTAAGCTTGAAGAACAAAAAAAATGTATTTTTCGAAGTTTAAAATATTTTTAAATACGCATTTTAAGTAAGAATTTTCACGAAAAGGCCAACATCCTATCCCATTTCCTTTTCCCTAAGTGTAGACGCTGACAGAGAGGGCGCTAAAGGTTGGCTAGTAAGAGAGCGGTGGAACGAGTGGGAAAAGGAGCGGTAGACAGATGAAGACCAAGACTGCGAAAGCATGAAGCAACATTATTCAAAAGAAAGCCAAGTTAAGGCATGCACACACACACACACACACTCACGCACACAGAGGCGAAATAAAGAGACAGATACATGGCAGCATAATGCAGCAGCGAGAGAGTATGAGTGAGAGGGGGCCGAGCAGAGAGGTAGAGGGTGGTAGTTGGGTGGCAGATCGGGCCCGGCATTAAACATCATTCAGCGACTGCGACGCTAACAGCGACGCCAACAGCGGCAGCGACGCCAGCAACAATCACATGCCGACATTCTTTCATTCGTACAACGACCTCGACTTTGATTTGCAGTTTTTGGCCAACAAAAGAGAGCCGCTTCGGGCCAACTAAAGAGAGCCGGGACGCAACGGCCTCTAGACGACCTACACGCCTGAGCAATGGCCGACTGGAAAAAGAGAGCCACCGAGAGAGTGCTAGCCGGCGAATGAGAGCACGAACTTCGTGCTCGTGCGACTTGGACTTCGGTTCTCTTCGGTTCTCCGAACAATCGGAACATAGCTTTGCTCGCTCGCTGGCTGCGAAACTCCATTCATTCGTTCTGCGCGTCTCGTCTGTGCCGGTTGTCTGCTGGCTCTCTCTCCTGCCTCTCTCTCTTCGCCCAGCCGCCCCCTCATAGAAACACACACATACACAACCTCACTAACTGACAGTGCAAATGTTAAACAAAGACAAAGGCAGTAACACACACACACACACACTTGAACAAACAGTGCTCCAGCTAAATAAGTGCAAAAATCATACAAAAATATTCCAAATAAAATAAAATACAACAAAAAGTGAACAATCAGCCAAAAACTCTGGGACATAGCCAATGCGTCATTGCCGCAGTCGCTCAATCCGGCAACAAGAGCTATCGCCACAGACACGAGTATTCGCACTCACACTCGTACTCGCACAGTTGCAATTACAAAGTGCGAACGACAGGCCCAGACATCGCACCCATACAGCCAGCATTATGACATTATGGCATTATAGAACCGAGATTTTGCTCAAGAGATCGGAACTAAGGCGCTTGCAAAGTTTAGCAGTGCAGTGCGGTGGCTCTTGAAACAAGTTTCTAATCTATTTGAAATTACTTTACAAGAAAGTATATAAACCTTGGCTATTAGTTGGATAATGCCTTGGAATATAGAAAGAGAATCATCATATTCAAATCAAGTTTCAATTTTATTAGCCAGTACATCTTGAGAGTCTATCTCATCTTATAGTATTCAACAGCAGATTGCTGTTTGATATCTTAGCAAGTTCTAGACTAGGGAACACTTTCTGTAAAAATAACTGCTGATAAACAAGCTTTGTATTTTAATCAACTACATAACGCCTCTTCAAGAAGCTTACACAATATTTTATTTTGGGTCTAATCAATCCAGTCTTAGTCTGGGATCTGGATGGATATCATTAAGAAGTGACTTCCAAAAGAATTTGAAGATATTCAAAACTTCGAACCACCACAAAGTGCACTCAAAACAAAAAATAATATGTACTAGTTTTTCGCCAAGTGTAGATTGGCAGACAGAAGGCAGACTGAAACCGCAGTGGGAGGGGCGCCGAGCAGTTATCAGTCGCAGACCCAAACCCATACCCATAGCCAAGCCCAGACTCAGACTCAGAAACAGACTCAAAATCAGGCTGCGGCTGAAACTGAGACGCCGCTGCCGGCGTTGTCTGGAATTTGTATTGCCCATATGGGAAGACACACTACACCACACAGCCACACACATACACACACATACTTACGCCCATTTGCACACATGGCCAACCGGATGTTGCAGCCATCTTTGTCATCTTTTTCAATCTCAGCCTTGGCTAAGGTCGCTCCTTGCCATCTCCGTTTGTCATACCATCAACTAGAAAGAGACGATGGTGGGCAACCGTGAGCAAGCGAGAAGGCAAAGAAGTAGCAGCCGAGTGGTTGCCGTCAAGTCGTGAATTTATAACAAAACGCTAGACTCGGCGACTCTGAATCTGACCGACTGGTTTGGCGTGTTGGCCCGGCTAAAATGGATTTTTTATGGCACAACGAACAAGCAAACAGAACAGCAACAACTGAATCAAAAGCATAAAAATGCCGCAACCCAAAAACCCGCAACACGAATTCTGAATGGGCACCATCTGAAATTTTTTCAAAAATTGAACAAGTGAGATGGCTATTAGAGAGTCAGCGAGAGAGAGAGAGAGACGGGGGGAGAGAATCGGCGATAAGAAAAAGCGGGTAAGCCAATGTAAATAGATATAGATATAGATATATATATATAAACATAACCAATTGGATTTGATAGCATTTCGGCAAATAAAATTACGAAAATTCGAGAGGCCAACAGAGTCGAATTAATATTAAATTATGACCCTAATTGTATCTAATATTGAACCTCTATTCTTTTGGCTAAAATGGTATGGCCATAAATCTGTTTTTATGAAATTTAATATAATTGGGGTAGTATTTTGTGTTGGAAAAGCTAATTTTGTTATAAATAAATGAATGTTGAGTAATAACTATAAACTATTAGCTCTAACTGATAATTTTATGATTTGAAAAATCCACCAAGTTTCTTATTAATGTTTCCCTTTAACTTACCAACAAATGACTATAGTTTAAAATAAATTCCTAAATTAATTCCTGCTTTAATATTAACTAATCCAACTTTTATAAACCCGCCCCAAGATAATTGTTTTAGAAAAGATATACCCAAAGATATAGCCAATAAAATCACACCATTAACACAATTAAAGATCTGAAGATTAAAACGCAAACTCGGCAGTCAATTTCCTCGTATAGCCAGCCAAAGTTATTATTCATGCCACCTATTTTCGATTGCATGTTTAAGCTAGATGGCTAGAAGTATGGGCCTGATGGGCGGGCGCCAGCCACGCCCCTGCGACGAGCGTGCTAATGAAACATTTAATTAAGGCATTAAACATCAGAAGCGTCAACAGGGGAGCATAATGAAACCGTATGGGTATTACTATTCAGGGAATATGACTGGGTGTGTGTTTGGATTTTGTTCACCTGAACGGTTACGTTAAGTTAACTTAAGTTAAGCTTGGCCGATCAGCTAAGGAAAAAGAAAAAAAGGCAAAAGAGCACCACCACTTCTCGAACCACCCTCGCTAATGCCGTCGACAATTGCCGTAAAAGTTTATCGCCCGCATTAAAAAACCATGGATTAAAATTCTACTTCAAATAAAAGTCGAGCATACGAGAGAGCCAAGTAGGAGAACAACAAATTTCCCATCTCCATTTCACAATTTTTCCCCGCTGCCTTCCTCATTTCTCTTCCCTCTTCAATTTCTTATTCGAATTCTTTTCTAGTCGTTTTTTTTTTTTTTTTTGGGTGCCCACATTTTCTTTCTTTTTGGCAGTTTTTACGTTTTTTGTAATAAAGATAAGAGCTCTACTTTTGCTCTACCTGCATTGCCTACTGCCGCCTACCGCCTGCCATTGCCTGGCTTTCCCGTTTGGAAAAGTGTTTGGCTAACAAATGTTGTCCACTAATTGCAGGCGAAAAACATTTTCTCGGCTAACGAATTAAGCGATGTAAATTTTTGCAGTTCTCCCGAAAATGGTGCAAATCGTTGGGTAGAGGGGGTTGGGGGTGCTGGTTTAGATTACAAGTTTTGGGTGGCATGGGCGGGGGCGCTGGGCGTGGGCGTGACACGATGGGCAAAAAGTCAGACAGACATGCAGACAATTTCATATAAAATGCATGAGCATAAAACCAATTCAATAGCCAAAAAATACTAACACACCCGCACACACACACACGAGGGCGGAAAATGTTTTCGGTTGGCTAAGTGGGTTGGGAAAATCAGGAGGAAAAACCGAGCGGCGGCGGTGCTTCATGTTAACTGCCTGTCGAGCAAACTGCCATCGCACTGAACTCATAGTTGTCCTAGTTGTAGTTGTACTTTGCCCAAAAAGTAAAAGACGACCTGGAAAAGTGGGGATGGGGTAGGGAAAAGTGGGCTGAGAGCAAATTACACGGAGCCAGCAGCGAACTGAACGGGAACAGAAAGCGATGCTAACTTATAGATACAAGATACCGACGATGAAACGAATTTGAAACAGACGAAAATTTGCACAAAAAAAAAGAAATAGAAAAACCCAAAAAAATTAAAAGAAAAATGCCCGAGCCCGAGCAGGAGGAAAATGCTGAGTGGGGTGGCTTGGTCCACCGCCCAGAATCAAATAGAAGCGACAAAGTTTTCAAATTAATTTATTGATACTGCGATAAAAGAGGCACAGAGGGAGCCAGAGATAGGGAGCGAAAGAGCAAAGTGTGGGAGATAAACGTTTTATGGTCCTGGCCATCAGCAACGATGATGAGAATGTGGGGTGGGTGGGGTTAGTGAAGAGGAGGTGGGAGATGGTCAGCAGCCGGACCCGGTTTAATCAAATGTATTGAAAATGTTTCGATTCCGGGCAAAGTTTTTAGAGTCGCCTGAAAGGGCCAAAGAACATCAAATGATTTTTGATCGTTGAAAGGGAGGCAGAACAAAGAGAAGGAATGGGAGGAATATAGATAAAGAGGGTGTTAAGGAAATTAAGATGTGCTTGAGTACATTACTCATTTACTTTACAACAATTAAATGGAAAGGTTTTTTGAGTTTTGTTACTAGGAACTTAGATTTAACTCAAATTCTGATCTCAAGCTTAAAGTATGAGCAACATTTTTTAAAACACAATTATATTAAATACAAATTTGCTAATAATCATCTTCAGCTTACAAGATTTCAAAGAAGATAGCAAGTTTCCAGTACTTCTAACATAACATTACTTATCCGCCGCATTGTCACTGACATAAAAAGGAAATTTCCTCTCATTAAAAGCTATCACAGCTATCACATAAGAAACAAAAAGCTCAGCAAAAAACGAAGAAAAGAAGAAAAAAACACCAAAAAATAAATCAACATACGACGCACCTTCATCCGATTTCAGAGGACAGAGAAATATATGTACATAAAGATGAGCCGCACACGTTTATTTATAAGGCCTAACAACAGTGATCGGCGTACCATACATATGCACATATAAAGCATCTTCAACGACATGCCCCTCCCCTCTATACAGCTATATAGATCCGCTACCCCTCTGAACGATACTTGTTCAATAACCGATAACATTTCGCTTCTGCTGACTTTGACTTTGCACATGAGATGTCTCTCATTTGGTTTTTGTTGTTACTGTTTTATATATTTACTACATATATATATATATGTTGTAGTTTTGCTGATACCGAAGCTTTAAACGCAAAAAAATGCAAATTTTATTTCGCTATTTCGGATGGGGGTTACCTCCTCCTCCGCCTGCGGCTCTGCTACCACCCGCCTTTGAATCCCTTTCAACGCCTATCTCATCCCGACTTTGGTTGTGCATTTGGAATTGTTTTGTTGTTTTGCTTTTATTTTATTCAGCTTGTGTATTTTTTCTTTTCTATTTGTTTTAAAACGCCGCTTACCCGATTTATTTATTGTGCCATTCATGTTTCTCTATCTTTATATGTGTGTGTGTGTCGCCCCTTTGTCTCGTCCCACTCCCGCCCCCCCTTTTGCAGTTTTGTGTTTTGTGTAATGGCTGCGATATTTATGGCCAGCAAGTGCTACGTCCTTCGTCCTTCGTCCTTACCAAAATCGCAACAGAACCAGCAACTGCTGCAATTTATGGCCATGGCTAGGAATCCGCATCGCCATAGCCATCGGAATCCGATTCGCATTTGGATTCCGTTTCCCTGGGCTAATAAAATATTGAAATATATATAACAATTTGCATGATTTTCGGTTCAAGTTTGGGGCCAAGTTGAATAAATATCCAATATTCCATGCCAATCCTGGCCAATTGTTTTCCTACTGCACTATATATATATCCTAACCATTGGAGTGCAATTTGTGTCGGGAGACTTTGATTGCAATTGCAGTTGGTAGCCCTCCCCAAAAAGGCCTTAATTGACATCTGGGGCCGGGGAGTTCTATTCGATATCCTTGGGAATTACGAATCCATTACTAGTCCAAGCACAAACAGTAGTTCTTGTCAAGTTTATGGCTTTGCCAACCAGACAGCATCTCAATGTTGGTCCAGAGAGGGAGAGAGAGAGAGCAGAAATGGAACTCCAAACAATTCCCGAAATCCCCAAACCGAAAATGAGCATATTAGCCAAGCCAAAGATGATACTCGGCCCATAAACAAAGAGTTTGAAATGTTTAGCCCGAATAATCGTTGGCTATTTCCATTCGCATTACGTCAACATACCCAGATGTTCCGATTTTAGCGGCCGGCACATACTACATATGGTATATCATATATATATATATATATATGTATGTTCGTAGAGATAGACCCACATGTTTGGCGTTTTGCAAAGCGGCCAATACATAAAACTTGCCATAAACAAACAAAGATTTTCGCAACCAGCAATGCGGAGAGAAATTGGCGAGAGAATCTAACCAAAATGTAAACAGAGATCGAGGCGGAACTGCTAATAAGTTTGGGAGATAAAAGTACATTTTAGACAGAGCCAGCAGTAGTCAGGGTAAATAGCTTAAAAATGAATGAAATAGAGTGATATGGGCTATAGAATGGGCTTAAAAGTGGGAACTAGCAACTGTGGAGTTAAGTCAATAGAAATATTTAGTTTGGTAATAGAAAAAGTAACCAAGAGACCAAGTACAACCATCAGCTGTCAGGGAAAGTGTTGCAACATGAAAGCAACTGGAATAGATGCCTATTAGAAGCAATCAATTTAACCAAATCGAACTGTTCTTAGTATCAATCAACAAAAACACTCAGCAACTCCAACTCAAAAGTCATCATTTAACCAAACTCTAGAACAACAAGCATCAGCCTGACATTCTGACAATCAACAAGCCAACATCAATCAAGGACCAGTAGCAACTAGCAACACAATCATAAAACAGAAGCAACAACTAGAGATATCAGTATGAAATCAACAGCCAACAGTTGCTGAGAGCTAGCAGCAACAGCGTAGTGACAGCAGCAACATCAAAACCATCAGGCAACAGCAATCAACTCTGTTGTCATCGGGGGCGTTGCTTTAATATGCAGCGGGTTGTCAAAAAGATTATGGCACATATAACGACAACACCTGTCGCTGATGTTGCTACTGTTGCTGGTTGTTGCTGTTGCTGGTTGTTGCTTGGCCTGATAACATACGAAGATAATGGCACTCAACAATCTGTTGCTCCGGTGTTGCCTGGAGT